TTGACAACTTTGGTGAAACAGAAAAATTCCTCAAGGAAAAATGACAGAAGACAAACTGACAGTCTGAATAGCCCTGCATTTATTAAAGAATCTGAACCTGTAATCAAAACTCCCCAAAAAGAGCGTCCTGCCCCAGATGGCTTCACTCCGAAGTCCTATCACACATTCCAGGAGGGAGTGTTACCAAGCTCACTGCTTACACGAGTGCTCCAGAAGACAGAGAAGGAGGGAGTACTCCCCTCCATGCAAACCACTGACACCAAAGCCCAGGCAAGAACTGAAAGAACACAAATTCACTCAGCAAAAGCAGCTTGGCGTTTTTAGCAGTCTCACACAGCTGAAGAGACAAACGCCCAGCTCTCACAGGGACCCATCGTAGGACCATCACGGGGACCCTGGGCAAACCCCCAGAGCACTACACAGTGAGAGTAACCCAAGCCTCCACACAGGGCAACACATCAATGCTCAGACAGAAATCAAGGGAGTGTCTAAGAAGCAGGAGGTAATGCGGGACATGGGAAATACCTAGGTGTGAGTCCAGCCAAATATCTACACCATCAACTGTTGTCACACAGTGGGGCCGGTGCTGTGGTGTAGTGAGTAAAGCTGCCACCTGTGACACCAACATCCCATATTGGCACTGATTCAAATCCTAGATGTTCCACTTTGGATCAAGTTCCTTACTAATGGGTCTGGGAAAAGCAGTGGAGAGATGGTTCAAGTGCTCAGGCCCCTGCTAAAACCATGGGAGACCTGTTGAAGCTCCTGGCTCCTGGCTTGGCCTGGCCCAGCACTGGCTATTGTGGGCATATGGGGAATGAACCAGCAGATGGAATATCTCTTTCTGTCTTTGTCTCTCCCTCTCTCTATATAACTCAGACCTTCATAATAAATAAATAAATCTTAAAATGGTTGTGAGACAGTGGGTGCCAAGCACAGTACAAGGCTCTGGAGATCTGAGATGCACAGATCTAAGTAACTTCCTTATTACTAGGGAGTTACAGCAAAAAGGATTCAATGTTCAAATGGACACAGGAGCTGAAGACAAAGATGGAGACAGGGCTGACACTAAAGGAAACAGCTCTGGACTGGTAGGAGAAGTCCTGAGCAAGGCAGGAGTACAGAAGATGAAGGTCAAGGTGACCCCATCTGCAGACAGGGCCCTGGGGGACCACCTGGAGATGAAGAGCACCCAAAAGCTGTGGCACAGCCACCAGGAAAGTGCGCTGGGCACAGGGAGGACTTCCAAGCACCAGGAAGACCAGCAGAGAGAGCATTTCCTAAAGAAGGTGACAGAAGGAAAATGCAGGGCCCAAGGACAACACCTGGGAAACACAGAGGTCAAGGGCAGTGGGGAAATGAGGGTGAGAAGAACCCTATGGGATCAGGACTCAAGAAGGTAATGGGGGGCGGCAGCATTGTGGCAAAGCGGGCAAAGCCACTGCACACAGTGCCAGCATCCCACATGGGCACCAGTTCAAGTCCCGGCTTCTCCACTTCTAATCCAGCTCCCTGCTAATGTACCTGGAAAAGCAGTGGAAGACAGCCTGAGTGCATGGGCCCCTGCACCCATGTGGGAGACCCAGAAGAAATTCCTGGCTCCTGGCTTAAGCTCGGCCCTGCCCATTGCAGCCATTTGGGGGAATGATCAAGGTAATGGAAGACCTCTCTCTCTCTCCCACTCTCTCTTTCTCTCTCTCTCTCTCTAACTCTGTCTTTTAAATAAATAAGTCTTTAAAAAAGGCAACAGTCGGGGGGTTGTTCTCTGGCAAGAAGAGAAATGGGCATGAATGTGACAAAGGTGTACTGGTCATTTGTGATCTCCAAAGCAAACAGCAGGGGAAGGACTCCATGCAACAAGAAGAGTTGGGTGGGAGCAGGATGAGCAACAGCAAGGCTCCTTGGTCCTGAGCGCTGCTTAATGGGTACCTAGACAGGACCCCATAGGATGAGTATACTACCAGGGGCTTCCCCAGCACTGCCTCACACAGAATTGGCACTCACCCAATTACTACAAAATCATGCCCAGCCCCACACAAGGGACCATCCAACTAGGCCCTGAGACACCCCGTCCCTTTCCCAAGGTCACACTGCAAATGAGCAGAGTTGAGGTTCTAACCCAGCCCATCAAGCCCGTTCCAGTCCTAGCGCAGAGTGCATCCCTGGGGAATCACAGCGCCCATTTCACAGACCTGGAAAAGTGACATGGCTTTCACAGGGTTCTTGAGGTTCTTCAGACTCAGAGCCATGAGCTCCGTTGTTCATTTTGTCACACTGCCCACCCATGGTGCCCCAATTTGTAAAGTTATCCCAAAATAGCCAATCACCATGGCCAGCAAGTTCAGCACCTTACATGGGCAAGAAAAATCAACTAGGCTTTCCTGGACTCTGCACATACGTCCTTGTGACATGATGGTTCCACTACACAAAGTGAGGAAGATGCGTGTCACTACCATGAAGACAGGCCACGACACACCTGCATCCTCACAGAACACTGACAAACAGAGATGAACCCTGCCTTCCTCCCTCCCAGCAACAGCAGCTCCTGTCTGCTTGTCACTTCATTTACCTACGACAGGCTGGAGGCCCTGATAAGCAATCATTCAAGTAGATCAAGAGACTAAATATTTTCCTTGTTCCTTTCAAGTGCGTAAACATGGTCCACCAAAGGCAAGGCAATTATGTGAAGTTGTCAGCTTATTATGTAATCATCTGTGTGAAGCACTACCTAGAAAAATTTTAAGTATTTCTCTGGATCTTAACATAATATCCAGATGAAGAAATTACCTTAGTAACAAAGACTTGGGGCTGGCAGTGTGGCACAGTGAATTAAACCACTGCCTGCAATGCCAACATCCCACAGGAGCATGGTTGTAGTCCTGGCTGCTCCACTTCTGATCCAGCTCTCTGCTAATGCACCAGAAAAACAGTGAAAGATGGCCCAAGTACTTGGATCCCTGCCACACACAAGGGAGACCCAGATGCTTCAGGCTCTTGATTTCTGCCTGGCCTGGCTCTGGACATTGCAGCCATTCAGAGAGTGAATAAGCAGATGGAAGAGCTCTTTCTCTCTTTCTTCCTCTCTCTCTAACTCTGCCTTTCAAATAAATAAAGAAATCTCTTTTTTTAAGGTTTGTTCATTTACTTACTTGAAAATCAGAATTAGAGAGAGAGAGAGAGAGGGAGAAATAGATAGCTTCCACCTGCTTGTTCACTCCCCATATGGCCACAAAAGCCAGGGCTGGGCTGGTATGAAGCCAGAAGACAGGAGCTTCTTAGAGGTCTTCCATGTGGATCCATGGGCCCAAGCACCTCGGGCCATCTTCCCAGGCACATTAGCAGGGAACTAGATTGGAAGTGGAGCAGCTGGGACTCCAATGGATGCCCATATGGGATGGTGGCATTGCAGATGTGCCACTGTGTCACAGTGCAGGCCCCAATAAATAAATCTTTAATAAAATAATTTTAGAATAGTGATAAATAATTAGAATCTATTGACTATGAACTAGTTGTTATAAAACCTATGGCACACAAACATTCCAAACAGATGCAGTGATTAAAAGTGACATTGAGGGGCAGGTTAAGTCTCCACTTACAGTGCTGTAATCCCATACGGGCACCAGTTCAAGTCCTGGCTATTCCACTTCCAATCCAGTTACCTGCTAATAGCCTAGGATAGCAATGGAGGATAGCCCTAGTGCTTGGGCCCCTGCATCCATGTGGGAAATCTGGAGGAAGCTCCTGGCTCCTGGATTTGGATTAACCTAGCTCCAGCTGTTGCAGCCATTTGGGGAATGAACCAGTGGATGAAAGACCTCTCTCTCTGTCTCTTCCACTCTAAATATGCCTCTCAAATAAATAAGCTTTAAAAAATAATAAAAGTGGCATTTATAAAAAAATCTTCATAATATGGAAAAGGCTTATGCTACTTCGAAAATCAGAATACAGATTTATAGAATAAATTTTTAAATTCAATCCAATTTTTAAAACGAATAAACAATACTAAATAGACACATAAAATGTTAAGTGTGCCTGTCTATGCACAGTTAAGATGCAGGATGAGGAATTATTTTTTCCTATCCATTTTTATTTTTCAAGATTTCTAAAAGGAAAATACATAATTTGTATTTGTGAACCACTGGATGGAAGATTGCTCTCTCTTTTTTCTGTCACTCATCCTCTTACATAAATAAACAAACATTTTTTTAAATGCTTCAACTTGAATTTTCAAAAAGCCAAAAAGCTTTTACAAAGAAAACTTGGGGTCTGCTACAATCCTCCATCCGGGTACAGAATCCAGCACCATAAAAAGTCAGAGGTGGACAGAAGCTGCAAGGTGCCTTGGTTTGAATGCCGGGCATTCCTAGACCTGAGATGACCGTGGCAGCAGCGACAGGTATCCTGGGCAGTGCAAACTCGGGACACACACAGTCACTGCCATCCCTTCTCCACAGATTAGGAAGCGAAGGCTCAGAGACTCACCCCACGTCGGGGGTCTGCCACTCCTCCCCCACGTGCCCAGATTTCACTGCACTCCCCCCAGCACGCAGACACTGCCTAAGCAGCCATCATCCTGTGAGGAAGACCCTCCCTGACACCACTCAGCGAGATTCCATCTCTTGAAGAGAAACATCAGTCCTCTAACTCCTGGCTGTCACCCTGCCTGGGTTACTAAACCTTCAGAAAAGACAATGTGAAGTCGTTCAGCTCCACACAGACTGCCCGACTTACAGGGAAAGAAAGACAGCAGGATCCCTGTCCCCAGGAGTGTCACAACACAGGGAGAGATCAGCTAGCTAAGGGACACTAGGAGCCTAATGAAATGCTCTCATTGAAATCTCAGCCAGGTAATCAAAAGGAGAGGAGGAAGAATCCCCTGACTTCTTAATAGCAGGGGAGCTGGGGAAAGGAGCAGCCCAGAGCTTCTGCTCAGGCAGGAACAGCACCAACTACATGACCTACTCCAAGAACCAAAAATGCCCAGTAAGCCAAATACTCACTATGTAGATGAGGAAGACTGGAAGCGACCCTGGGGCTCCGGACGCTGGATGCCGCAGTGTGCAGATGCGTCCCTGGGCACCATGGCGACGGCCATTGGCGAGTGCGCCTGCGCCTGGCGCTGTGACCCGGAAGTGCACCCGCACGCCTGACCCCAACTCCGCGGTGCTCAGGTGAGAGTCAGCGCCGCATCCTCTCCTGCCCGAGAACCTGTGAAAGCCAGGAGGAGAGGAGCTGTCCTCGACGCTGCTGGCCAAGCCTGAGCCTGAGGGAGAACCAGCGGCCCCAGGGTCAGGCGAGGGTGCGGGTTCGAGGCTATCGCGCCATTTCCCAGGCGCGGTTCTCTTCTTCGTCCCCTTCCGGAAGCAACGGCCTTCACGGACCTCAGTGCCGCCAAGCAGACCAGGTGCCCTTGGAGGTGAGTGACGCGCGGCTTTTGCGGTTTCCTTCTGGGGATCTTGGCTGCAGGCGTGCCTGTTGCTCTTGGGTCCCGAAGGCGCGGGTGGAGTCGCGGTTGTGCTGTGCGGATGGACTGGAAGGGTCCCCAGGGTGCGAGCAGCTGTACAAGAGCAGAGTTGGCTCGGTGTCTACCGGAATGGCCCTGCATTCCCGTCTGTTTGCTCTTTGAGGACCCAGCTACCCTGCTCTAGACCACTGAGAGTGTTGTCAGGAGGAAGGAGAGCAAAAGTGCGTGTCTGTGTCCTGGTTTAGGAGGACAGTTTGAAGGTAAAATTGGGTTTATGGATCCGATGTCTGTATTCTGTATTATATACCTGTAGAGCAATACAGTTTCTCGTGTGCAATGAGTCCTGTCAACATTGAAAACTGTATGGGTGTACCCACTACTGGGAACATATTGAAGGAAACGAAATCATTGTGTAGACAGAGAGGTTTTCACAGGCCTATGCTTATTGCAGTAGGATGCACAAAAGCCAGGCTATACAGTCTGCAGACGCATGTATGGTGTCCATAGCCCATAATGTCTTTATTCAGTCTTGAGGTGATCGGCATTTTGGCTGATGGCTTATCTTTGCTCTTGTGAATTGAGCTGTAGTAAATATGGGGGCAGAGAGAACTCTTTTTTTGTATGCCGATTTCATTTCCCTTGGGTATATACCCTGGGCTGGAATGGCTTGCTCCTATGGTACGTCTATATTCAGATTTCTCATGTATCTCCATTGTATCTTCCACAGTGGTGATTTCAGTTTATATTCCCACCAGCAGTGGATTAGGGTGCCTTTTTCCCCACATCCTCAAGGCCGTTGTCGTATCGATTTGCATTTCCCTGATGGCTAGTGATCCTGAGCATTTCTGCATGTGTTTGTTGGCCATTTAGATTTCCTTTCTAGAAATATGCCTGTTGAAGCTCCTTGCCCATTTCTTGAGTGGGTGGTTTGTTTTGCTGTTATTGAGTTTCTTGAAAGTTTCTGGTAGTTTATCTTTTATCAGTTGCATACTTTGCATATAATTTCTCCCATTCCGATAGTTTCCTCTTTACTTTGCTGAGTGTTTCTTTTGCAGAGCAGAAGCTTCTCAGTTTGTTTGTTTGTTTGTATGTTTTGGTGTCCTCATCTATTTCTTTGTTTAGTCTTTGTGATTCTCAGGTATTGAACCTCCTTCGTTAAAGTTATCCCAAAGTCCTTTATTTTCTTTGTAGCTATGTGACGGTACTGGTCTTAGAAGTGCTTTCTCAGCCATGACATTGTCTATGTATACAAATAGGATGTTGAGTTTCTATCCTGGCACTTTACCAAACTCTACTCTGAGTTTCAATAGTCTCTTAGAGTAGTCTTTTGGATTACCTATATATAGAGTCATGTGATCTGCAATTGGGGATAGTTGGACTTACTCTCTCAATTTTATCTAATATTGAGAAATGAGAGAAAATATACCAGCATGATAACATGCACATAGAAAATGGCAACACTGACCTCAGATGCTACCTCTCTGTATTCGATCTTTCTTTGTGGAAGACTTGATTTGGCCTGTTTCCAACATGATCCATGCTTTAACTGCAGGGCTAGACTGTGCAAGGTGGTGACTAGGAAGTAGACCTGTGTTCTGTGGAGAACTCCGTAGATCACAGGTGTTTCAAGTCCTTGTGTGAGTGGGTACATAAGTGTCTGAAAAAAATATATTACTAAGATTACCTCATGCGCAAGTCAGAGATAATACCACACAGAATGTTTGTAAGGAAAAAGAGAATGAATGGGCACCAAAATTTTTTCTTCTAAGACCAAGTTAAACTTTTTTTCAAATTCTGTGTTAATAGGTTAGGTAATGCATATAAAATCAAATTCTAAATAAACTCTTGTAATGCCCTTGATGTATTATTTTATTTATTGGTATGTTTTCCTTTTTGAATAAAAAAATGCCTTTTTTAAAAGATATTTTTTTATTTATTTGAAATTAGGATTTACACACACACAGAGAGAGAGAGAGAGAGAGAGAGAGGAGAGAGAGAGAGAGGGAGAGAGAGAGGTCTGCCATCTGCTGGTCCATGCTGCAGTTGGCTGCAAGGGACAGAGCTTATTGTATCCTGAGGCGGGACCCAGGGGTTGGGGGCCCTGAAAAGCATTTATAGGTCAATTTTTCACTGACTAATTTTTGCTCACTGTTTCCTATGATTTGTTATTTGTCTTTGTGAACCCCCCCACCTCCCTGTGACCTGATAATCTTGGAATTCATTTTGGAAATGAAAGGCGGGTCAACCTCTCTGGGTTCTACTTTGGTGAATGCCACAGGCAATCACTTTTTCACAGTGGGGCTTTTGCTCCATACACGTTATTCTCATTTTCACATGCAGAAGTTGGGGCTCAGAGAGGCTGAGTGACTTGCCCCTGGTGACACAGCATGATGCTGCCTGTGTTGCGTAATTGGGGAGTGAGTCCTTGTGAGCAGAGAATGAGAGTATATATTCTTCTTTTGTGCTAGATAGTTAAAAAAGATACCTTCAGCCGGCGCCGTGGCTCAATAGGCTAATCCTCCGCCTTGCGGCGCCGGCACACCGGGTTCTAGTCCCGGTTGGGGCGCCGGATTCTGTCCCGGTTGCCCCTCTTCCAGGCCAGCTCTCTGCTATGGCCAGGGAGTGCAGTGGAGGATGGCCCAGGTGCTTGGGCCCTGCACCCCATGGGAGACCAGGAAAAGCACCTGGATCCTGGCTCCTGCCATCGGATCAGCGCGGTGCGCCGGCTGCAGCGGCGGCCATTGGAGGGTGATCCAACGGCAAAGGAAGACCTTTCTCTCTGTCTCTCTCTCTCACTGTCCACTCTGCCTGTCAAAAAAAAAAAAAAAAAAAAAAAAAAAGATACCTTCAATGTATTCCAATTTAGCATGATATCTACTGTGGTATGTCAAGACTTGTTTAGCATTTATTATATTGATCTATGATCCTCTCATGCTTAATTTCTTTGAGATTTGGATAATGAATGGGGTAGAATACTATCAGATGCTTTTTCTGCATCCATTGAAATGATTATAAAAGATTTTCATTTTTCATTCTTTTATTGTGATGCATTACACTTACTGAATTTAATATGTTGAATAATCTTTGCATTACTTGGAAAAATTTTCCATGATCATGGTGGATGAGAATTTAATTGCTGTTGTACTCTATTTGCTAATATCTTGTTTAGATTTCTGCACGTTGGTTTATAGTTTTCTTTTTGGTGGTTGTTTCCCTATCTGGTTTTGGTATTAGGGTAACATTACCTCTTCAGATGGATTTAGGGGGATTCTTGCTTTTTGGAAAAGTTTGAGAAGATGATTCACTAAAATTTTAGTGGAATTCAGCAGCAAAACCATCTAGTCCTAGGTTTTTATTCATTGAGAAATTTCATTTACTGATTCAATTTTATTACTAGTCATTGGTGCACTCCAGTATTCCATTTGTTCATGGTACAATTTTGATATATGTATAATATATGTATATATACATATATGTATATATATCACATATATATATGTATATATAATATATAATATTATATATAATATATATAAATAAATGTATTTATTTATCTTAGGTTTTCCATGTTCTATAGTTATTTATGGTAGTTCCTAGTAATCCTTTGTTTTTCTGTGGTATCAGTTTTACGAGATACTTTTGTATCTCTGATATTATTTTTTTGCATTCTTTTTTTTTCAGAGAAGGGGTTTATTTTAGCACAGTCTGGGGGTCTGTGGAAAAACCGAACAGAAAGAGCACTCCTTGTGTCTCTTCCTCCTCTGTGCCAGCATCAGTCAGTGAGGCAGTCCCGGGGTCACACAGGTCGCCCTGGCACTGGGCGTTCTGTGGGCCCGGACAGAAACCATGCGTGGCCACCCTGTGGCATCACATGCTGCAGTCGCCCTCGGCCCTCAGCCCTCGGCCCGCTGCCCCACCCCCTTGGCCTCAGAGTTGCTGCCTTCTGGGGATGGCAGGCAGCCGGAAGCCCCCGGAGCCATAGGCATTCATGGGGCTGAGCTGTTAACACTCAGGGAGGCCAGGAGACCCCCAGGCTTCAGGAAGACTGGGCATCAACAGCCCACTCCCAGCTGGAGTCTCCAGGGCAGAGCAGGTCACGAGGAGAGGGTCAGGGGAGCCTCACCTGCTCCGGGTTTCCAGGACCACCCTGGATCAGGCCCTCCCACTGTGGTGAACATAGGAGCAGCTGGCCACTGGTCAGCCATGAGTGGGCGGTGGTCTCGGGCTGTGCTGTGCTATCCTTCCCTCGCCCCAGGCTCTCCTGTGCTTGGCCACTCCATTGAGGGCCCAGGGGTTCCTGGAGGTGGCGTCAGCACTTGGGCTCTCTGTCCCCCAGGCAGGCACAGAGGCGACCCCCGGCTGGAAGGAAGCTCCAAGGGGTCTGGGCAGGTTGTGCTGTGGAGGGCAAGGACCACAGGGCAGGAGAGACCGCGTCAGAGGAGAGGCAGGCAAGGCCGTGGGGCAGAGGCGGGCATGGTCATGGAGTGAAGGACTTTTGGCTTGGAGCTGAGCTGGGGGAAGGGCAGGGCTAGGGTTAAGGGGTCACTAAGGGCTTCAAGCCCAGCTGGGAGACCCAAGGCCGGGTAGGGGTCAGAAGTCCAGGGAAAGTAAGGCAGACAGTGGCAGACCAGGAGGCCCAGAGGATCCTGGGTAGGACCCTTGGGCCAGCTGTGGGCATGAAGAACTCCTGAGAGGCCACTCAGGGTGGGACCAGGGGGCTCCATCAGCTCAGGACGTGGGAGTGGCAGCCACCACTCCACCTCCCACCGGGCCTGAGCCAGCAGCAGGAGGAGCCACAAGACAGGGGAGCGCCAGGCCTAGGTCATGTTCAAGGTTGCCTGTGGGGGCACCAGGGGATGGGGTTGCCACAGGGGATTCTGTGACCTTCAGGAGAGCCTGCTGACATGTGCCAGCCTCCACGTATGTGGGAAGGGGCTTGGAACCCTGCATTTGTTTCCCAGAAAATAAGACACAGTGCAACAGGCCCAGAGGAAGCCAAGAACATTCCTCATTCCCCTGATGGCCAGGTCTCTGCTCCCCCGCTGTGGCCAAGTTCCTGGGCCTTCCAGGAGGGGTTGGCTGGGCTCAGCCAG